CATTTGTACTACCATCAAACAAGCAGAGCAGAATTGGTGGAGAAATGGAGGAAACAGGAATAGCATATTCTTTGATTATGGACAGGTCTACAAAACAATGAGAAGAGCCAGAATCGATCAACACAGAAAAAGTATCAACAGAGTAATCAGGAAGAGTTACAGACAGAAGTAATGAATTGGGACTAGAGAGAGTGGACAGGTTGAGTCAGATGTCCAGTTGTGCACAGTTGGGATCAATGCTTCCTCCAGGCTGTGCAAGCTCCCTGGAGGAGTGGACTAATTTGTTGGCTCTGCCTTCTCTGCAGGTGGAGGAGGTGGAGTTCCAGCCATAGCTGGATGTGCTTTGGCTGTGCAAGAGGTAGACTTGGGACAGTCCTTAGCAGAGTGGCCAGCCTCACCACAGAAGAGGCAGAGGTGAGTTTGCCATCCTTTCCCAGAAGATGGGCAATATTGGACTTGGACATGTTGGACTTGGGCAGATCTTTCTGTCTGTCCTTACCCTTGGCATCAGACCTTGGAGCAGAGGTGGAGGACAATGATTTAGACTTGTTGTCAGAGCTGGAAGGCTGTGACTTGTTGGTGGAAGACTTGGTGGTGCACAAGATCTCCACTTTATGCTCCCAGTAGCATGCATCAATGGTCTGAGCAAGTTCACAGAGTTGTGCAAGGGTAGAAGGTTTTCCTATGCAAGTGATCTCATCCTTGATGTGGTCTGGAAGTCTGCTATAAAAGCAGTGGTGGAGTGCACTGACACCATAGTCTTTGACCTGTGAAGCCCAGTGATTGAACTCTATGACATATTTGGTAATTTGAGAACCATCTTTCATAGTGAGGTTTTTGAGTTGTTGGATGGCATCCACTATGGCATCATGCAGACCAAAATTAGTTGTGAGCTCTTGTAAGAACTCATGATAGTCATCCATCCAGAGCAGACAGTCATAATTGTCAGGGTTTAGTAGGTCTGGCTTGAACCAAGCCAGAGCTATACCCTTAAGATAAGACCAAGCAAAGGTAACCTTTGCTCTGTCAGAGTGGAATGCATGGGGGTGGTCTTGGAAGTTCAGCTCACATTGTATGAGGAACTTGTGGAGTTTCTTAGGGTCAGAGCCATCAAAGGTGTCAGGCTTGCAGACTTTGGTTTTTGGAGTGGAGTCCCCAGTGCATGAACTAGACTGTGCAAGTGCATGGACAACTCTAGCAAGAGCTATGAGGGGATCCTCTGGTGGCTCAGCCAGGTCTTTGGGGATATCCCCATCACTGCTGCCCCCACCATCAGGATCACCATCAGGGTCATCAGGGTTGGGGTCAGGTCCATCATCTTGGTTGTGAGGGGATGGAGTATGGAAGGTTGTTGGGTGGAGGTCAGAGCAACCAGCTTGCAAAGTGCATTCACCTTCAGCATGAGAGCAGCATCAAGTGGAGAAGGATTGGAATTGTTTGATGATGGAAGGGAGTCAACATGGATTGGCTAGTGCTGCAGTGAGGTTCTCAGCAACCTCTTCCTGGGATTGAGCTTGAGTTCTCATAACAGTGTAAGTTTTTTGGGAGACAGAGAATGAGATTGTACAAGTGTGAGTACAAGTATACTGTCAAGTCCAGTGTGAGTCAAGGTGTGGTTCAGTGGTGAAAACCAACCAAAACCAACACAAAAGACAAAAAGAGCAAGTGATGGTGTGCCTATGTGGTACCTAGATGGTAGAACCTTTGATTTGGGTGGGTTTTTGCAAGCTACAACACTCAAAGACAAGTGCTGAGGGATGGGGGTGCTCCTGACAAAGAGGGAGCAAGAATGCGATAGAAAACAATAGGGTAGACTGCTGTCAGCCTACAGAAGGATGGATGGCGACTTAATTCAATGTCCTAAGCTGCACTGAGATCAGGGAGGGCTTGGAGTGAAGTATATTGATGATAGATGATATTATGCAAAGTAGATGATAGTTAGACCCTTAATAAAGTCTCAACTATTGAAGCTGATGGAGGATTTACTGAGTGATGATAAAATGCGAGCAAGAGGGGCTCTCTGATGTCTTCTTTTTTTGCTATCTAAGTACAGTGATTTATATACAGTACAGGGGTGTTGCCCTTGGAAAACAAGGTGCAACCACTTGGTAAGTGATTGGTAACTGATGAGTAAGGAATGTAAGCGATGGGTAATCATCTCAGAAAGCATTGGTAAGCATTGGTAAGGATAAGCAAGCCAAAAGGTGAAGGATCAGTAAGCAAAGTCAAAAGATTGGTAAGTATTGGCAATAGGTGAGTCAAAGACAGTCAAAACATCAAAGTATGAGTCAAGTAATGTCAGGAACTGGGAAAGCACACTGGAATCACATTAGGGGGAGGCTGTGCATGTCACATCTCAAAGAGATTGCTTCTAGGCCAAAGTGGGATGACAGAGAGGCAGCACTGATCTAATGCTGATATAGTACATCCAAAAGTGGACAGGGTGAGTCAGATGTCAACAGGGGTCAAGCCTTGGGGGTCTGTGGGGTGACAGGAGCATAGGGGATGGCAACTTTCCCCCCCAAACCATCCTCTCAGTGAAGCATATAAAAACTTCATGAACAAGGCTCTGTTGGAAGAGAGGATGAAGGGGGAGTGTCTTCTGCTGTATCTTGCAACAAGGAGGCAAGATGTGCATCATACTTGTCATGGATGCGATCAGAGAGAGTGGGGAACAGTAGACTATACTATGGCTGTCGCAATCCTGGAAGAATGATGGACGAGACTGGTATGAAAACATTGCAGGGAGCAGGGAGGAAGGATCCATATGCTTCTTGGACTGGAGAGACTGAAACAACCACATAAGACCTTTCCAAGCAAATGACAGACCTGAGGCAACCAAAGAATGTCCTCCTAGAGGTCATACTGACAAAAAGAACACACTGTCCAAGCTGGATGGGCTGAGAGGGCACAGATGAGGGTGGGATGTACCAGGATGCTTCAGGATGGAAGCTGGTAGGAACTCCTGGTAGATATATGTAGCCATGGTCCCTAGCAAAGGGGACAAGTGAAATGATTGACATGGAGGTGGTCATATCAGAAGAATTAGCAAAATGAGCATCTTTTGGAGGGAATGCTGTAGAAATGTGCAGAGTGTGCAAATCCTTTCCAATTTTGGAAGGTAGGATCGTGTGGCTGAGCACTACAAGCAAGTGTGGGAATGGTCTTGGTATCTGCAGAGACAGCAGAGATATGTCAAAAACTGGAATGCTGTACACAGATGCTTAAGAATTTTAACCAGCACTTAACTCACTCCCTGTCTTTTTCTTTGGCACTGATGACTTGTTCTTGTGTGAGGGATGACTGCTGACATTTCTGGCTGTCCTTCTTTGCATGAGGGCTATGGTCTTCACCTCCATTCATCAGCTGTATCCATGTCCACCTCACCAAACACCTTTGGTGTGTGACACCAGGCCTACTCCAACCAACTCTGACACTGGATGAGGTCTGGGGAGAGGTTCAGAAGCAAGTCTGACAGAAAGAACTGAACTCTGACTGGCAGAGTATTGGCAGGAACGAAGTCCACTGAGATAAAGGTGGAGCAGAGTGAGGGTATCAGGTTTAGCTCATGTGCTACCCCCTTGCATGATCTCAGCCCTCTTATTTCAGAGGGAGAGTACAGATGGACAGATGAAGGTAACTCTGACAGACAGAAGACAGAGACAGAGGGAGTAGGAACTAAGTCAATATTCATACTGAAGAACAGTGGAGTACAGTACATGCTTTTATACTACTATGGAGGTACAGTAATCAGAATCAGAACTGACATATGGAGACTTGTAAAATTTCAAGTAAAATTTCCTAGATGATGAATGAAGGGTAGACAGAGGACATATGAATGGGTAACACAGAATATCCCAAAGAGGAAACAGTCCAGGTGCTGGACCATGCACTGTCAGGGAGAAGTCCAAAGGGTAGTCACATGACTCCTCAGAGAATGGCCTGTGTGGTCCAGTAGGAGAGCAGTACAAGTCCAACAGCAGTCAGAGCAGGGATGACTCATAAATGTCAGGGGGTGGGCAGAGTTGGTGTGGAGTGAGCAAATGACTGGCAGAATGGGGTGCAGAGTGAGTGAGGACTTAGGATGAATGCACAGTCATGACACCCACTCCTTGAATTGGTCATCCTGTCCCATAAAAGGTTGGTTGAGGTCTTATCAGTTCAAAAAAAAATTTACTGAGATTTGAGTTCACTGCACAGATCTGCTGGGTGCAACACCATAGGCTTCTCCATCCCAATAGTTGTCCTCATTCCCCCAATCATCTGAGGCCTCCATAAAGCTGTCCACAGGTCCATTTGGTGTAGTCTGAAGTCAGATAGGTGGGTTGTGAGTAGTGACAAGGCAGCAGTAGTTGTCAGAAAATTGAACTGTGCAAGAGAAAGCATGCCTGCTTTCATCAAAGGTTTCACAGTACACATGGTATGTTTTCTTTTTTTTCCTGGGGATTGTCATGGCTCAGCCTCAAGTGCAGGAGATGAGAAAAATTTGTGTTCACCTTGTGTAGCCATTGCCTGCAATCCCAATCCATGAACAATAATGACTCAAGAGAGAAGCCAGGAATTTTTTCGATCCTTCTTTCCATGAGTATTCACTCGGAAAGCAAGTCAACTGCCTGTTTGGTATTTTAAGATAAGTATGGTACCATTGTATAAGACCTTACCAAACAAAAACACCCCCATCTCCAGGCCATTGCCATGGTATGGCAAGCCAAACCATCGCAGGGTTGCTGTGCTTTATGTGCATTGTGGTTGTGGGCTTATCAGATGGTAGTGCAGATTGGAGTCTGGGAGAAAGGAAGGGGGCACTCCACAAATAAGGTTCTGGTACTTGCTGCAAATGTGCTAGTGTCATGGGATGAGATTCAATTGGCTGGTAGGTAGTCATCCAATTATGTAATCACCATTGGTCTTCTCAAATGCAAAGGTTGGAAGTACAGCATACATGGTTTCATCTACTTGTCATGTAGTTCTATCAGTACCAGTAAAAATATTGCATCTCTCTAGATATCATGCCTATTATGTAGATCTATGAGATCCTGAAAAAATTTTGCTTCATTGATGGCCATGCCTTGCTTTGCAAGCAATGTGATGAACTGTTCACTTGTATGTGCATTTCTGTAGACTTCAATGATGAGATTGACATCCTCAGCACCATACCCATGAGAAGCAAGATAGTGAGAGGTTAGTGTACTGAGTGGGCATGCTAATGTCCACACAGGCATCATAGAAGTTGGATAGTAGTGGCTTGATATTATACCATGTAGGTTGTGAACATGACTGTATATAATGGGGGATGGCTCTGTGTCACTCATTGCAGTCTCCAGCCTAGTGGAAGAGGTAGAGGTTGCAGAAGATGAGGCATGGGATGTAAATGCTGAGGCTATTTGTGGTGTCTGTGGTGAAATATGCAGTGAATCATGGAGCTGTTTGCCCAAGGTATCAATGGGGCTCTCAGGGACCTCCACAATGATCTCCAAAGGTGGCATGTGTTGAGGAATGCCTTTAACAATCACAAATGCCAATGCAAGCCAGAATGAGGGGGTGTGCCTGCATATAGGGTATTTGAATGACCCTTCCACATGCTTGGCACTCTCACTAGAAATGTCAAGCTTGGTCTGCCATATAATCAAAACTACTAGCTTACACTGTGTGATGAATGCTGGGAGGTGAGCCAATCATGATCACATAAAAGCCTGCTTCATCTTCAAGCAATGTTTGTACAGATGGTATGTCAAATGTGGTGAGTATTTGGGTGTGGTCTGCCCCATGTGGCAGTGAATTCACAATGCCTTGAAGTGTTCCTGCAACCCACCTTGCCTCATTCTCCAATTTACACTGGATCATGACTGGCAATGGTGACATTGCATGACCACATGGGATCAATGGACTAGTGTCAATGCTCAAGTTTCAACAATACACTTGCCTGGGAATGCATAACCCACCAGTCATCTGAACCATACACACATGCACTGCTGTGAGGGCCCCCAATAATGGCCCAATAGTGTTCAATGGCAGCCATGGGATTTGTAAATGACTGCTCATCTGAGCTTGTGCTTTTATAGTGACTCAGAAATGAGGGGGGGCATTCATGGAGCTTTGCCAGATCTGGACCCATAGAAAGCAATCCACTTCCTGTAAAAGCCTGTAGTTAATACTACATACTTGAGGCTAACAATATGTGCATCTGTCTACAAGTTTTGGCATCAAGGACTTGAGTGCATTTTTCAGAAAAATTCACACTACACAGTTGCATGTATGGCAAGTCAAAACATTGGCAAACACTTTAGTATGACCAATCACAGCAGGCAAAGGCCTGTGAATTGTAGGGCATGTGTGAGACATAGTCAGAACCTTGGGCAGTAAGATCTTAAGACCTGGCAGCAGTACAACCAGTATGATGTATGCACCAAGCACTAGACTGGTTGTCAAAATGTGAGCAAAAAAGATCATGATTGTTGTACAGTCATTAATGTGAATACCTTTGAACAAAATGTAATGTAGTGGTTTCTCTCCTACAGGGAGTCAATCATTAATCAAGATTTGGCTCAGAAGTAATTGTGTCAAGTTTTGATCCTACATGCAACTTACAGCTTTCACATCACATTTTTTTCTGGTTTTGTGTGCATATCACCCACCATTAATCACTGACTTGTAAACATGATTCTAATTCATTGTATACTAGCATGATCAAGGACCATGCAAACACACATGGGCTTATTCTAAGATATTCCAAATTCAGTGATTGAAAGCTACAAGGTGATGACAACTTGGCATGGCCATGACTAGTGACCTAGGTGGCCAGTACTGCCAAAACAAATGAATGAAACATACTACATTGTTGGACAACTATGTACCTGGATTCTGTCAGATCTCTCAGTGATGCAAGATGATGTTCACTGTATCTGCTTCCATGGCTGTGTGAGATCTAATAGCAATCAGGGTGACCAGCACTGTAATGGCAATGGCAAGGATGTTGTGCATGGTCTGCCAGTGCTCCTGGGGGACCTGCACCACCTGGATGATGTCAAAGAACCACACAATGCTAATGTATGTGCTCCTGCTCTTATGTCCATATGCCACTCAGCTCTGATCCCCTGAATTAGCTTGTGACCATCATCAGAGAAACAGGGAGTGACAGAATCATGGTCATGACCAGTCAGTGACAGGTTTAAACAGGTTTAAACCATTTTTTTGCTTCCTGATGATAATCAGCATAATTTGTAATGCTAGCTGCTTCCTGACCAAAAGTAGGTATGGAAATGACTATTAGAGATTTGGACAGTGATTGAAAATCCAAGAGCTCACTCCAAATTTATCTTCATCCCCCTCCTCCATGTGCTTACTTGTTCCATGGCATGCCCTCATATTCACCACACTAAGGAAGCCAGACTGGAAGCCACTCGAGAAAGTTGCTGGCAGTACTATGCAAGGTGAGGACTCTTGAGTCCACAACACAGTGAAGTTCTCATGTTAAGTACCAGTCTTGCTATGGTCAAAGATGCCAAGGACAAGCTGGTTGCATATGCACTGGCACCACAGTCATTTATTGAAGGCATTCTCAGGAAATATATTGATTCCATGCCAGATGACTCAGATGATGAACTTGCTGCAAAGTCATTGACAGGTGACCTTAGCATCATAGAGGACACTATTGCTACAGTTGAGAAAATTCACAGCAAGGCACTCAAAGGCCAAGTGGCCATCTATGAGATGTGTGGTGTCTGTCCAGAATGGTGTGCAAGTGAGCAGGTGTGCAGTGGGATCAGGGAACTAACTATTCTACTCAAGGATATTCTGTGCTTGGTGATGGAGGGGACCTTGACTTTGGCAGAAGTGCAATTCCTGGGTGAACTTGCATATCAATAGCCATGATGCAATGTATAGACCATTTCCAAAATGCCATACATATTTTCTATCTAGTGTACTTGACTGCAGATTGTTACAAGATATCATGCTGCTCAACTCCAAGCTCTTTTGGGATTGCAGCCATTCATTCAGGTGGTTGCTGGCAGTGCTCACTTTGTCCCAGTCCTTCAAAGATAACTAAGTAGGTTACACATGTATAGTAAAATGAATACTTACTGGGGGTTGCCATCATCGATGGACTGGGATTCAATGAGCTTCTCCATTACCCAACAAACATCTGCCACAGCCACATTCCATAAACCATACTGTGCCACCCTAGCTTTGATTTTGGATCCCCACCAGTGAGGTGCAGCAATAACACTGAGGAAATCATTCAAGCCAGGTTTGTTCAGTTCAGTCCACCCACCAGCCACCATATGCAGTGCAGGAACAAACCCAGCAGTCTTGGGAATTGATCCCTTCCTCCAGGTAGGTTGCAATTCGCATCACCAAGTCCAGAAGTCATTGGAAAATTTGTCAATATCAGGGATTGGGGGACATCCAGTACATGTACATGAGATCCACCAATGAATCGCTTCAGGGTGATACTTGCTGCTTAAGGTATGTGCTGCTCCTGTCCTATTTGCAAAATTTGATCATTCTTTGAGATGGAAGTAAACTTTGAGGAGGTTACAAAATTCTTCACCAAGATCAGGTAATTGAACGTAGCTGAATGATGTATGGAACCATTTGGGGCAAGAGTCTGGGGGCAGGTAGTTACTAAAGTTGATTAAAAAATAGATGGTTTGGCACACTCACCTAAAGATAAAATTGGCAAAGCCTCAGACTCTTCTTCTCAATCAGTGGTAGAGTTCAGCACCTCAGAAGAACACTGGGGCATTCCAGAAATCTGGGTATGCTCATTAGCATCAGCAGCACCATTGGAATCACTGGGGATTAGATCTTGGGGTGAGAGCTGGTGAGCATGCCAGTGAGGCATAGACAGATGCTCCTGTGCATCTTCATCATAAGGAGCAATGAGGGGTTTGGGTTGGCATTCCTGTCCACAGTCATTGGGGGGTGAAACAAGGTGATGTTCTTTCAGTAATGCCTTGGACCCTTCCTCAACAGAGTTTGATATGATGAGAGAACATCAGGGTGTTCCAGAACTCTGGATATCCCCATCCAGATCAGCAGCACTGTCAACTTGCATGCTGGTATCACCAGTGGAGATAGTGGAACATCCTGGGCTGTGTGGTGGTGAGACTGGGTTTGGGGGTGAGGGCTGCTGGTGTGGTGTGGACAGAGCATCTTCATCATGACAAGCAAGGGGACTTGGTTGGTATTCCTGTCTATGTTCATCAGGGAATAAAGTATGCTGACATTGTTGCATGCCATCAGGTCCATCTGCTGCATAAGATAGTGAATATGGAGTGTGTAGAACAATAGTTTTATTTTACCTTTGTCTTGGGGGTCTGCAGGAGTGCCAGATCTTTGGGACCTCACCCAATGGGGAATGGTGGTGGTTTGTGGAACTGCACACCTCAAATTTGGGCCAACAAACACATAATCTACCTTTTTGGCAGAAAATGGTAAAGGGGCACATTGCAGGCAGTGGCAGCTGTTGTCATGGTCCATACTGTTGTCATCTTCTCCACTGCCACTGCTGTCATCATTACCAGATGATTCTGTAGAACTATTGGGGGGCTTCTTATTCGGTGTTGCCTTTTTGGGATTGTCTTCACCTTTGCTGATGTCTGAAGAATGGTCAGAAGAATCCATGGATTCATGCATGTGCCCTCTAGACTTGTGCCCACTGATCAGTGCTGCCTTTGTTGCTGCTTTGGGAGCATCTTCAACTTTGTTGGCACCTTCAGGGTTGTCATTGGGGAGTAGGGAAATCAACCTGTCAAATTCCACAGGAAGTTTGTGTGCATTGCATTCTTCTTGTGCTAGAGAGTGAGATGGTTGATGAAGTCAACTCTGGGCTGTGACATGTGTACAACTTACTGTAGCAAGTATCCAGATACTCATGGAAAAAATGAGTGATGGCTCAATATTTTGCTTTGCCATAAGCCTGCCAATTGCAGGGCACTGAACTTTTGTCACCTCCTTCATCCATTCTGTACAGGTTGACTGAAAGTAACAGTGACAGTAATAAAAAAACTTATGATAAAATGGTGATGTTCCTGTCTTTTTGAGGCTCTGGGCCACTGACAATGAGCATGACATGCATGCCAAGGATTGTGTGCATTCTGCTAAGGAGTGGACTGGCAAATGATGGTAGCCTATTGATTGTGCTGTAAAAGAAAATTCAGTTATCATAAGAGATCAAGAATCAAGAAATAAATGACATATGACTGTTGTGATATGGGATCAGTGGCAGGTGGGTTACTGAGGGCTTCAGTCCATTCTGTGATGGCTGTTTGAGCCTCATCTCTGGCAAGTTGAGTGTAATGGGTTTGGGTTTGGCCATCAGTTGCTAGAAAATGTTCTTGAGTAACTTGTTCTTGGAAGGTTACCATTGCCTTCCCCTTTATGCCCTCAGCATTACATCTCTCCTGAAAATCAGGCCTGATGATGGTGTCAAAATGGTCCTTGGACCACCACTGGTGGGCTTGCAAAGCCTTCAGCTTTTTCTTGCTTATGCCAGATAACTGTACAAGAAGGTGGGTCCACATGTTGTTCTCTGACACCATGACATTTCCTCCAACCTTCTGATTGGCTCTGATGCAGTATTTGAGCCATGATTTGATCACCTAGACAGGAAAAGGAGTGAGAAAATGGACTTCCAGAGTGTAATTGATTACCTTGCACATAGCAGTAACCTTGCATTGTTTCTGCTCCATTTCCACCTTTGAAAGGTTCTCCATCGAGTTTGGCTGTTCAGAAGCTGGAGCAATGGGATTTCACCTTGAGCCTCCATGGAAATTTGGAGAAGTATGCATTAATGACTGAGTTGAGGTACTGCTGTGCATGGGAGGTGCCTGCCATAGATGCAGTTTGATAACCAGTGATGTGACTGGACAGAAAATCCAGGCATGGACCTTTCGCCCAATGGCATGTCAGTTTCTTGACATAGGCATCAGGGTCATCACAAGCATTGGTAGGCTGGGTTGTGGGATATAGGTCAGGTGCAGGGTCAAGTACAGTGTCAACATGGTCACTAGATCCATAATTAGTGGATTGCAGCAGAAAAAAAATGGATACAGATGTCATGAGGTCACTGATATTCAGTATTGTTTTGAATGGTGGTAAGAAGGCAGTGGGGAAGGCACAATATATAGGAATACCACACTCTCACTGGATTGGAGAGTGATGAGCCATGATCAGGTGTCAGTCATGTGACACATCACGTGATCAGGAATTGAATAATGTTGTGGGAACATTTGGTCATGTGCTACATCACATAATCAAGAATTGGTGGGGGAACAAAATATATTCCATGGGAACATCCCAATCTGGAATTTTTTTTCAAACACCAATGGAGGTTGTTGCTCAGGGGCGTTTTCTGCATCAGGAAGTGGTAGTTGCCATTGGTTGTGTAACTCAAACAGTGGTAATTACCATGGGCATTTGGTCAAAATCAGCTGATACAGCTGCCCTGGTATGCTTTCATTTCTTATCCAGGTATTGTTACCTGTTGAAATAAATGCAGATGACAGCATTCCCTCATCTAATACGATGAGATTGAAAGTATCCCCCAATGATCCTACTTATCCATGGCCAAGCAAGGCAGTAGGTTTGAGCCTTCATGAGTGCATGAACATTTCTGAAGCAACTCCATCAGCTGTTTATTACCACCCTGCTGTTCAGCTCCCCAAGGTTGCCTTTTTCAGAAGCACAGATGCAGGCTGTCCTTGACTGGGCAAAAGAGCTTGGTGCTCATGACATGCCATCTCTTTATGCAATAAAACAACATCAGAAGTATCTTCAAGACACAGTCAGTGATCCAACAATGAGGGTGGTGTCTCCATCCAGCAACATCTTTTATGTCAACAATATTGCAAATGTGATTGCAAAGGTCAGTCTCACATGATTCTCATAATAGGTGACTTTAGCAGATCAGACAAAGGACTATGCAAACCCCCTCACACACTTTTCAATGCAAGACTTTCCTGAGGACAGAGGCAATGGAAGGTCTCAAGTGTTCCATGGGGACAAATTACTTCATGAATTGCCATTGCCACCTGCCACTCATGTCAATTGAACAATCTACTTTGTCAACAAATTGTTACAAGACATCTCAGGGGGTTATTTCATCCCTGAACACTTCTTTCTGGCAACATCCAGTGTTGCCTCAGGTGGCAACCTACCTATGACAGAAAGCATGAAGGAGCTTTTTGCTCTTGGGCAAGCCATCAAACAAACTGATGTGAGTTCATCCTTTCATCCCCCAGATATCTGCTGACTATATGTAGGCTGGTTTTCTTGTCAGTGACAAGCTGGAAATAGTCCTGACCTTGATGTTCAAATTCTCCTTTGAGGAGCCTTCCTCCAACCCTGCAGAGTTTTCATGTGGATTTATGGAGTCATCTAAAAGGTATGCATTGCTGATGCCAAATCCATGGTGCAAAAAATCAAGTGGCCATATGGTCTATCGTGCCCCCCTTATCATTTTCATGGACAACATCTCTGGTGATATCTCAAAGCAATGGAACAAGCACTTCATAATATACAAGTCAAATGCTTCCCTCCCATGAGAAATGCTGGACCAGGAGTTCCATGTGCACTTCATATCCTCATCTCCCCATGCCTCTCTGATGGAGCTTATGCATGCAGTGAAAGAGTCCATAATGTAAGTTTGTGATACCATCTCAGATGTGTGACTAATCCCATTACATGCATGCTGCAGAAATGGGCATGATTGCTTGGGATTGTCATGATGAGGAGGAGGTCTTCCTCATTCCTAATGGGCTCTTTCACACTGGCAATAACCTGATGCAGGCCAAAATCTGCAGCCAGGGTGGATTGAACTGTAATTATTTCTGCTGTACTTGTCACATTGGGGGTACAAAAGACTACAAGGAATCCAACAGTGGATATTGTACCTTATTTGAGGTCTGTGTGTTCCATTCAACTGTCTTTGAGCCTGTTGTTTGATTCTCATAGCCCAGATTGCTTCAGACACCTGCTGAGATGGCCAATGTGATTAAGAACCAATTTTTGATTGCAATGTTACCAGGGGCAGCTGAGAAAGTCAAGATGTCTGTCTAACCATGGTTGTTCAGGACATGCTATCCCTCAATATTCTCCAAAAACTGATTGAGATGGGGAAAAGGCTTTGCATGTGTGGGATGGGCAGCACTCCCATGCAAGAACCAGATGTCAAAATGGAACTGGAAGCAGAGCCAGCAACTCTGCTTGATGGACAAACTCTTGATGACATGATAAACCCCACCAGAGTCTGCTGACTTTGACCAAGCAATGTGGTAGTTACCACAAAAGCAGTTACAGAACTCATGGCAACTATCACTTCCCAATATAGACAATGCCCCCTGAGTGACAACCTCTTGGTGTTTGAAAAAAATCCAGATTGGAATGTTCCCATGGCAGGTTACCCTGTCACAAATATTGATAACTTGCACCTGTACTGTGGCTATACAGATGAGCATGTGACCAGTAGATGTGATAGTCACATGATTTTATGTAATTGATTACATGATGGTGATCCTCTGGAGCATTCTGTTATGTAATTTATCATGTGATCATGGGAAAATATGTATGTGACTTAATCAATGTCACATGACAAGGTACAATCATAGATCATCCAACCTATTACATAATGATCACATGTCAGTTTCTCCCCAGAACATTTGGTTATGTAATGGGTCACATGATTGTGAGACAATAGACATGTGACCACTCCTGCAGCATCACATGACTGTACTCATCATGTGATCTCACCTCTAGCACTCTGCACATGACTCAATCCATATCACATGATCAGCAATCCCACCCCTATTTGCATGCTGGGCATTTGTGGCTGTGCTAAAAATGCGAATTGTGTCCCCACCCATTCAATTCTTGACATATGAATCTGAATTTTTGTGTGTAGAATAGGCTACCATGTTGCTACACATTGTCAAAGGTACAGCTGGTCTTGTCCAGTAGTTGCTGAGATATAATGGAAATGAAAATGCCAACAAAACATCACATCATTCATCTTACACATCCTTTATGCCATATCTGACACTTCAGAAGGGTTGGACACGTGCATATCAATTCATAGACAAAGTTTGGTGTCACCCCACTCAGATCTGAGAGAGCAAGATGCAAAACAATGATTCAAGAGTGTGGGAAAGTGGCAAAAAGTCCCAAAATAACATATGGAGATTTTGAAAACATATCAAAAATGTGGATTGGCACACATCACAGTGACCCTGCCAACCCCAGGCTTTGGGTGAGGAATGCAGCAATATGGCCTACCATGTTGGCACCATGTGCTTGGTGAGATATCCACTTAAACATGTCAAAATTGCGAAAATGTGTGCAATGGTGTTGACCATGCACTGGCATAAATCTCCCATTGTCTCAATCAGTCAAGTGTACCATTTCGCATTTTTGACCATTTGCAGTGAGTATCACATCAGGCACTTGTTACTAATATCTTCCACCATATCCCAATATCCCTCACCTAAGTTCTGGTAGTGGTAGCTGCACTGTGGGATGTGCTGTGCTATGTTTTTGATATGTTTTCAAAATCTCCACTATTTTTGAAGCTTTCCCACACTTCTGGGATTAGTATTTGGCTTGCTGTTCACTCAATTCTAAATCGATAAACTTGAAACTTTGGAAATGCATTGAAGGAATCTTTTGCAACCCTCCTGAAGTGTCAGATATGGCATGAAGGATGTGTAAGATGAATGATGTGATGTTTTGTTGGCATTTTCATTTCCATTATATCTCAACAACTACTGGACAAGGCCAGCTGTACCTTTGACAATGTGTGGCAACATGGTAGCCTATTCTACACACAAAAATTCAGGGCCTGTTCAGTAACACAATTAAGTCTGATTGAAGTGAATTTGAACCCCACCTAATCATGAGAACTTGAATGAAATCTCATGGTCACAAGTGTGGCATGACTCCAATTGTGGGAACAAAATTGAATGAGATTGGATTTCACTGATCATGCTGATCAGATTAGCCCCCAATGTCTCCCTCAACTTCAATTGCACAACAGTCGCAAACTACAAAAGAAAAAGGCAGCATTATGCAGAAGCATTGGTGTGTAACCATCCTAGCTACAAGAGGTGGTGTAGTTGAATCAGAGATAGACAAGTAGTTGCCCTAGCTGCAGGAGCTGCTGCTGCTGTCACAACTCTTTATGCAGCTTCACTTGAGAAAACTCCCAAGCACACTTCTGTTCTGACTGGTCAGAAATGGGTAGATGAGATTTGCACTGGCCATCCCCTGTGATTCCAGGAGAATATTGGTATGGCCCAGCCCACATTCTATCAATTGGCATATACCCTATGGACAGTGGGCGAATTGTGACCCACCTGTAACCTTACAGTGGAGGAACATCTTGCAATCTTCCTCTACATTCTAAAGGGCCACTCCAACCATGAAACACAAGAACAGTTCCAGCACAGTGGTGACACAATATCAAGGTGAGTCCATAGTATGATTTGTACTAGATAAGATCTGAATTGAGTTGTAACCATCAGAGTGTTTCATTGGGTGCTTGAAGCTTGTATCTCACTGCCTGTCTATGGATCTTATGTCAAAATCCCAGGCAATAATGCTCCTATCCCACCAGAGATTCATGGCCAGCCAAAGTTCTACCCTTTTTTCAAGGATGTACTTGGTGCCATTGATGGGACTCATATTGCTGCTCTTGTGCCCACCCATATGCAAGCCCCCTATTGAAATCGCAAGGGATTCATCTCACAGAATGTGCTTGCATCCTGCAGTTTTGATATGTGCTTTCAATATGTCCTCAGTGGCTGGGAGGGCAGTGCTGCAGACAGTCACATCTATCATGATGCTCATGAGAGGGATTTTCACATTCCCCCTGGCAAGTACTATCTTGCTGATGCAGGTTTCCCCTCTTGTGATGCTCTGCTTGTCCCATATTGTGGGGTCCACTACCATCTCAAGGAATGGGAAAGATCAGCAAATAGGTATGTCATCACATGGTTCTTTATTCATGTACCAGCATTGAATGGGTATCAGACCTCAGAATCCAAAGGAGCTATTTAACCTTCAACATGCATCAGCTTGCAATGTAGTTGAGCACATATATGGTGTTGCCAAGCATTGTTTCCCCACCCTGAAAACACCTCTTGAATTTTCCATCAATGTGCAAGCCAAGCTAATTCATGCCATCTGCTTCCTTTTCAACTTTATTTGCACTCATGATCCTGATGACCTCAGGGACAGTGATGATGTAGAAGGGTTGGAGGATGTGGGGAGCTCAGAGAATCAGGGATACACCATTGATGACCTTGGAGGAGAAATATCCCCTGCAGAAAAGACTAGGGCTGACAGATGATGAGACAACATTGCAGATGCAATGTGGACAGAGTATCAGAGGTATCTAGCTGAACAGTAGGTACAGTTGATCTAGGTACTCAAGAATCAGAGGAATAGAAATGTTCAAGCTGTTTCTGTAAATAAACCAACCAGGCACCCTTCCTCAAGCTGAGATACCCCTCCACAGCAGCCTGACTTGTGCCAAACAAGTCAGCAACATCAGCCATCTCATTATCAGACAGACCTTCCTCCTCTGAATCAAGGTGAATTGCAGCCATGCATTGCTGTGGGGATGTCACCAGAGAGGTTATGAACAAAGTGCCTCCAGCTGGTGCCTCAGTCATTGATGATGATGGTGTTGCAGCCACAGCATCAGCAAGGGACAAAAGTGCATCACTGACAGAGGTAATTGCCTGGGGGCCAGATATACAGCCACAGCATGAGGTAGTTGCTGTCCTCTTGGCTGGGGTTTTTGGGAGGGGGGAGAGCTGCATTGCAGAGCACTTGTGAGACATGGGTGTCAGCTTATTCTGGGTCAGACAACATGTTTAGTGGGCAAGAAGTATTCACACTTACCTCAATCGTATTATCCTCAGACTCCATGTCCAAGTCAGTAAGGGTGGCATCACCTACATCCAGGCCATCAAGAGCATCTACAGCTGAGATATGACTAACAGGACGAAAGGCTAGACTACCAGTGGCAACTACACCATCAAGGAGCTCTGCAATGGCATCATACAGAGGGAATGGAGTGGTCTGCCAATGCTTTGCACTCTTATGAATCTATTGATAGTTGTCAGTATAGAAACAGCCAGGTAATGTGGACTCACTTCAATGTAGGCATCCCAGACCTCCTTTGTGGCATGCACCATCTTGGTCTCCTCATTCCACCCAAACCCAGATGCCTTTTGAAGCTCCTTGACAACATCATAGTCCTTCTTGAGCTGGGGCATTCAGTCAGCATGATAGACTCCTCAACAACCAAACTCACCTTGGCCCAATGTGTTTTGCACCATTCAACAGTTTTTGGAGCTCCACCTGACTTGGTTTCACTGCCCTGAAGGGCCTTCTCAACCTCAGTCCAGGCCTCACACTTGAATCCACTATCTGTTGTGAGTATGTTGTCCTTGGCTTCAAGGAGCTTGCTGACAAGAACTGACTCATCAGTGCTGGACCACAACATGGCATCTGCCTTTGTTTGTGGTGTGGCTGTGCCACCTGTTGCACCCAGTTCAGCTGCAGAAACTTGAAACTCCTTTGCAGACTTTTTAGCCATAAGGACTTGGCACAGAAGGTGACAGGAAGACAAACAGAACAACTATGCTCTGGTAAAATAAGGGCTACCAAACAGCAATCAAAATTTTCCCTCATGTTGTGACATTTGACAGACCACAATAAGGCCCATTGAACACTCATCAGGCAATATTTCACTTAATCAAATTTTCATGATTTCATTTGAGTTTTTTGCAGGAAAAATCATTCTCAGTTTGAAAAATTTGCAGGTGGCGATGCCATGGGAACTTCCTTAAAAGGAAAGGCCACCCTCAGGTGGGTGGGCAGGGAGGGGGTTCAAGTGTTTGAGTGGGCCCTGCTGGGCATCACAATGTCAGGGCTCAGGTGGGATGGCTCAGGAGGGTGCCAAGGCACTCTGTTCACATCCTACACATGTTTATCTATGCTCTTAACCAATGAAAAGTGGGAAATTTGCATCAGGAATGGGTTGTAAAGTGCAAAATCCATTGTAAAGTGTGCTAAGTGACTTAGCACTGGGAAATTTGCAGCCAGATAAGCAAATTTTCCCAGGCAGGAGGGCAGCCCATGCCAATTTTTTTGTGAGCATGCATTTGCATGTGTGCAGCCAAGCCCAAAGTGCAAGCACCACACATGAGGCATGATCACATGACCACTTCCCATGCCCAAACACCACTCATCTAGCAAATTTGGGCAGGTCTCTTTGCAGAATACCCATTTATTTTGTGAATAATTACATGGCTGACATAGAGTGGCTTCCAGTAGCATTGAATTGAGTACAGATGTACAGGCAAGGGTTGTGCACAGCCCACAAGTCTCCTGACCCTCACTTTCTTGCATGCACACCTTCTGCTTAGTCAGCAAATTTGCAGTGTCTGTGGGCACAGCCACCTGCAAATTTTCCGGAATAAACTGACTTAATTGTGTTACTGAATGGGCCCTCAGATCCATATGTCAAGAATTGAATGGATGGGGACACAATTCGCATTTTTAGCACAGCCACAAATGCCCAGCATGCAAATAGGGGTGGGATTGCTGGTCATGTGATATAGATTGAGTCATGTGCAGAGTGCTAGAGGTGAGATCACATGATGAGTACAGTCATGTGATGCTGCAGGAGTGGTCACATGTCTATTGTCTCACAATCATGTGACCCATTACATAACCAAATGTTCTGGGGAGAAACTGACATGTGATCATTATGTAATAGGTTGGATGATCTATGATTGTACCTTGTCATGTGACATTGATTAAGTCACATACATATTTTCCCATGATCACATGATAAATTACATAACAGAATGCTCCAGAGGATCACCATCATGTAATCAATTACATAAAATCATGTGACTATCACATCTACTGGTCACATGCTCATCTGTATAGCCACAGTACAGGTGCAAGTTATCAATATTTGTGACAGGGTAACCTGCCTTGGGAACATTCCAATCTGACTTTTTTTCAAATACTGACAGAGGTTGTCACTCAGGGGGCATTGTCTATATTGGGAAGTGGTAGTTGCCATGAATTCTGTAACTGCTTTTGTGGTAATTACCATGGTCATTTGGTCAAAATCAGCTGATACAGCTGTAAACCTGTTGTTGGGCATGACAGGTGAGTTGTCTCACTGTCATCAAAGATCACCTAACAGTGAAATGGCATCCACAGGTGTTGATATACACCTTGATACCCCAACAGAAATCCTTCATACCATTTTACTTGGCATTGTCAAGTACTTTTGGGGCCAAACAATATTCCTGATTGAAAAGGCAAAACTACTTGAAGTCCTCCATAGCTGCCTTGACTCCATCAAGTGTGAAGTGCTGAATGCACCAAGTTTGAATGCTGATTATATATGCAACTACAAGGGTTCATTGATTGGAAAACACTTCAAAAGTTTAGCACAGGTCATGCTGTTTGTTATTTATGACTTAGTTCCTCAGAGCATCATTGATAGATGGACAATTATTGGAGAATTAGTTGTCTTCCTTTGGCACATGCAAATTGATAATCTCAAAGTTTACTTGGTGAGTTCCATTAATGTCATACTGTTGCATTGACCTAGGATCATTCCAACAACAGGCAAAGCTATCTCAAACAATTGAAGATTTCTTGAATGTAACTGCAACATGTGCCCCAAGCATCCTCATCTCGAAGCCAAAGTTCCACTTCCTTGTCCATTTGCCTGCTTATATCTGTAGATTTGGCCCTGCAATTGTTTTTTCCACAGAACATTATGAATCCTTTAATCATGTGTTCTGACTATCATGCATTCACAGCAGTCAGCATGGCCCAAGCCAAGATTCATGCCAGAGGTTCACCCAGCTCAATCTGGTCAAGCACATCCTAACAGGTGGGTACTGGTATGAGAAGGAACTGAAAAAATGGGTCCACACCAGCTCATATGTACTGAACTTCCTCAACAAACATCCCACACAAGCAAAACTTCTCAGGATCAAACTAGATGATGACAAGAGCAAGCCAGGTATGTACAACATTTGCCTAATGTTTGTCCCCTCAATGCCACTTAGGAACTGGTGAACTTTGCTGTACCTCAGCCACCAGCAAGAATGCCAGATCTCAACCTTCAAAACCCATGAAGTGGGAGTTGACACTCTGTGTGAAGCTCAGTCCTATCCCTTGTTTGACTGACAAGTACCACCAAGGCTGCACATTCATTGCAAAGCATGGCAACAAGATTGAGATTGATGGACATGTCATCTTTGATTATTCTACCTTGAGTTCTGGGTTTGCAGTGGGCTGTGTCTGCAAGGTTTTGATTGACAACCCTTTCCACTGCATGGTTTCACATGTTGCCATCCAATTATTCACATTCACAACCAATCTTCACCCCACTTTATGTCTTCCATGCATGGAACTGACTGACAACACTGTTGTCATCAATCCCTCTGTAAGTTTCATAGATTCCCTTTACTCCCATACTGATGTAGCCAACCAGAATGTTCTTTGTGTGGTGAATGTACAGCATAATTGTGTGGACTCCAAATGTACCAAACTCAGCAGTCATGCTATTCAGCAGGAATGGACAGTCACAAAGTGAATCAAGCACATCATTCAACATGAGCCAACCCAAAAGTATTTACTGAATGCATTCTTGATTCATAATTACTCATTCATCCATGCTGTTATACTGCCATCCTTGCAAGAATCACCACTTTGTGTTGCACCCACTGATGTGGACAAGGTTTGAAGACAGGCTGCTTGACAGATCCAACAGAAGAAAGTGCAGTGCCAGGGGCAAGTGAGCACAGAGGCTGCACAAGGTGACATGGGTGACATACCACCCTCCCCAGCATTCAACAAGCCTTTACCAAAGAATACAAGGAAGAGGGGACCAAAAGCCATTGCCATGATGGATGTGAGGAGTTATCCTGTGGCTCCTCCTGCTGTCACTATGCAGCTCAGGCATGGCTGTACCCCCAAGGGATTCAAGCCCAGTCACCACCACACCTGCCCCATCAGCAATCTGTGCCCTGCCTTATCCACTTCAAGCCTCTGTGCCTCCTCCCCCAGCACAAATACAATACAACAACTCCTTCATTCTGTCACTGGCCCACTCTCCACCGCATTTTCAACACACCCACACTTTGCTTTATCTGCTTCATGCCTCCCAGCCCCCTCCCACAGCTCAAATGCAATACAACAGCTCCCTTGCTTCACCAGTGGCCCACTCTCTGCTGCATTATCAACACTCTTACTGGCTGCATCAAGGGTCCCAAGCCCATCTGGCACAAGTGCAAGCCATGCAAAGCATGCCTTATTACCAATATCACAACTAGCTGCCTCCAGTGGTGTATCCAAGTCAACTGGCAGTCCCTCCTTATCAAACATCACCTCCCCAACACAGTTCTGCTCATAATCCTTTTACTTTCCATAATTGACTTCATTATAGCTGCACAACATGACTTCATATGTATAAAAAGGATCCCCCCTGCTCATCAATGGCCCCAGAGTTGCCTCAACTGCTGCGATGTTCTGTCAGTACCATTTACACTCTACTTTGACTTCCTCAAGGGCTGTGTCTCATACCAGAGCTCCTTCAGTGTCATCAACAGGTTCTCATAGTGGCACTCCAGCCTCTCATCCAGCTTTGAGCTCTTCTCAAATACCCCCCCAACACTACCACATTCTCTCCCACTCCTTTCCACCCCTGCCCTCCTTCTGACTCATTGGAGGACCCCATTTCTTTGGCTGTTTGCTGGCATCAGGATGACAATGTGGAGAACAGCTCTACACAGCTGACTCCCCAATGCATTAAGTGTCTCAAGACATATGCAAAGAAACTCTGTAAGGATCTCAGCATTGAGGAGAAAGCTGTCTTTGACTTCATTGATGTGAGTAACTCTGAGATCTTCGCTTCTCCACCTCACCACCCTATTCAGACTGGTGACCTTTTTTCAATGCTTGTTGATATTAAAGCTACCTTTGTTAAATACAATGCTAGTAACAAGGCCTCTGAACCCCAAGTGCTTCAAGGTATGTACTCTTGGTAGTACCTTGTTTGCATCTTTCCTTGACTTCATGACCAGATCAGTCTCTCTAGCCACTTGTTGGCTTGCATTCTCTCACCAAACATAACTGCATATGTTACAGACACTCAGCATCACATGATGGTGCATCATCAGCAAGTTTCCACCTTTGTCTGGGTCATTACAATGTACTATCCACAGGAGTTTATTGCCAATCACCTAGACATATTCAAGATACCAGCTACCATACTCAATGATAATGAGCTTCAAAGCACCCTTGGAAAGATCATAACAAGGTTACTTGCTGACCTTTGCAGTTGCCTCAAGTCACATGTGAGTCCAACCAAAATTCCTGCTGATGCCTGCTGCTGAGTAGTCATGCTAGTTGACTGTGTCTATTGTCAAGCAAACATGCATTATCAAAGTAGGAAAGGCTGTGGCATGTAGTAGCCCTGGAATGGAAGTAGATGCGAGCCACTGGGCAAGGTTAGCATTCCTGGTAAGTATTTCCATCACATCCTGTTGAATGTGATTTAACCTCCCCAGTGCAGCACTGCTGCCTCTGCCTCTTCCTCATTGGTGTAGGTGACCACAAGATAGCCCCCCTCAGCACTCATTTCACTCCTCAACTCATTCTGATGCTCAAGAGTGATATGTGTACCAAAGTTGAGTGCAACCTCAGCATCAATATCAGTGAGATAGAGCAATGGGCTGTCTCTGCAGACAACACAGATGAAAGCATCACTGACACACCTGTGACAGGGGATGGCAGCAGTTCAGCTCCCACTGGGGATGAGTCTGGGCCTGGGGCCAATTTCAACTGGAGCAGACTTGATGATAACATGGATGACCTTCAAGGTGATGCCAACAGTATTGTGGATGCTGGACCAAATCTGGATGCTGACACCTTGAGCAATGATGGTGATGATTTGGATCCCTCTGACTCTGGCTTCAGGCTTGGTGGACAACCTGTGCACTTCAATGTCACTAAGTTCTGGAATTACATCAACTATATGCTCAATACCTCTGCTGGACTGCATGCAAGAATGCCCACACAAAGGAGTTGTACATCAGTAAACCAGTAGTTGGTCTAAACCTGTCACCAACCAGTCATGACCATAATTCACAAGTGTGAACAAAAAATGGTTTTGAAACCTTATGACAAGTCAGAAAACAGTCTACAACCAAGATTTGTCATCCATGATGCAATGACAGGATGAGATCCACAGATCTCATTATCTTCCGTATTTTATTTGATAATAAGATTATCACTTGTGCCATCCATCTACTCATTTTTCAGATTGATGCTGACAAATCAATCAAGAATTGGAGGCAGGCAGAAAGATACAAAATGGATGCTACATCTCATAAGTATAATTGTAAGAAAATGGTTCATATCCTTTGACACCCATGGACCAGCTTGCAGAAGAGCCAGGTCCAGCCTGTGACATGCTTCCTGACACACTCTCCTCATGCAATGTAGTTCAATGAACAATGGGTATGGCTGTTGTAGGGAAGATGACAGTATGTGATGTACTTGCAAGGTGGCTTTCATAAGCTGCAATCTCATGCACAGGGGGGATATAAACCATATTCAGTTGTTTTTTGGGGGAATGTAAGACATTTGCAGGTTTCATTTTCTCCCTAGTCCAGTGTGTCAATTAGCTCATAAAAATATACATAGAGTACTCACAATCCACATTGATGAAGCCACAGCAGATGGTGATTAACTGCTGTGCTGATAGCAGGGTTCTGAGTTGCTTCAAGAAGAGAGTGGTAGTACACTTCATATATGGGTGAATACTTGGCACCCATGAATGCAGCATGTGGCAATGTTTCTCCAACACACTCAGATTCACATTTGATAGCATAAAACAACTAACAGCTGTGAGCTTTTGAAAACTTATTAGTAAATGTACTTACCACTACAGCAGTTGGGGCATACATCCACAATGGTGTTGTGTGTATATCCTTGGTGGCTCCAACCTTCATGGGAGTCAGCTCAGCAGTATACCAGAAGTTAATGTGGAAGTCTTCAAGGTGTTGGTTTCCATACCAACAGACAATTTTCCCCTGAGAAATAATTGTAAATGTCCAAACAGTATGTAGTGTAAGTATGACTTACATCTGTGTCATGCTCATGCATGAAAAAAGAGGTAAAAGCACTTCCATCAGTGATACATGTGCATATATTGTTTTTCCACTGAATAATTTCCTTGTCCATGAAGAGTCATGTATCATCATTCACAAAAAACATCTTGGCATAAGGACTGGCCTTTCTAGCCAATTCTGCATGAAAAAGTGTTAGCGATTTCATCAGCTGGTAGTATATTAAATTAGTATAGCTCAAGTGCATTCACATCAATGATCCTTACCAAGCATTCTATCCCTGTTGTGGGCAAGAGCACTTCTGCAGGGGGGGGATTAAGTACTGTAAGATGCAAGATGAGATATACCATTGTGAGTCAAAGTGTGGTTCAGTGGTGAAAACCAACCAAAACCAACACAAAAGACAAAAAGAGAAAGTGGTGGTGTGCCTATGTGGTACCTAGATGGTTTGATTTTGGGTGGGTTTTTGTGAGCTACAACACTCAAAAATGAGTGCTGAGGGATGGGGGTGCTCCTGATGAAGAGGGAGCAAGAATGCAATAGAAAGTGATAGGGTAGACTGCTGTCAGCCTACAGAAGGATGGATGGTGACTTAATTTGATGTCCTAAGCTGCACTGAGCTCAGGGAGGGCTTGGAGTGAAGTAGATTGATGATAGACAAGGATAAGCAAAGTAGATGATAGTTAGACCCTTAATAAAGTCTCAACTATCAAAGCTGCTGAATGAATTACTGAGTGATGATAAAATGTGAGCAAGAGGGGCTCTCTGACATCTTCTTCTCTTCTTTTTGCTATCTAAGTACAGTGATTTATATACAGTGCAGGGGTGTTGCCCATGGAAAACAAGGTGCAAACACTTGGTAAGTGATTGGTAACTGATGAGTAAGGAATCTAAGCAATGGGTAATCATCTTGGAAAGTATTGGTAAGCATTGGTAAGGATTAGCAAGCCAAAAGGTGAAGGATCAGTAAGCAAAGTCAAAAGATTGGTAAGTATTGGCAATAGGTGAGTCAGACAGTCAAAACATCAAAGTATGAGTCAAGTAATGTCAGGAACTGGGAAAGCACACTGGAATCACATTAGGGGGAGGCTGTGCATGTCACATCTCAAAGAGATTGCTTCTAGGCCAAGGTGGGATGACAGAGAGGCAGCACTGACCTGATGCTGATATAGTACATCCAAAAGTGGACAGGGTGAGTCAGATGTCAACAGGGGTCAAGCTTTGGGGGTCTGTGGGGTGACAGGAGCATAGGGGATCACAACTTTCCCCCCAAACCATCCTCTCAGTGAAGCAAATAAAAACTTCATGAATGAGGCTCTGTTGGAAGAGAGGGTGAAGGGGGAGTGTCTTCTGCTGTATCTTGCAACAAGGAGGCAAGATGTGCATCATACTTGTCATGGATGTAATCAGGGAGAGTGGAGAACAGTAGATTATACTGTAGCTGTCACAATCTTGGAAGAATGATGGACAAGACTGGTATGAAGACATTGCAGGGAGCAGGGAGGAAGGATCCATATGCTTCTTGGACTGGAGAGACTGAAATGACCACATAAGACCTTTCCAAGCAAATGACAGACCTGAGGCAACCAAAGAATGTCCTCCTAGAGGTCATACTGACAAAAAGAACATGCTGTCCAAGCTGGATGGGCTGAGAGGGTGCAGATGAGGGTGGGATGTACCAGGATGCTTCAGGACAGAAGCTGGTAGGAACTCCTGGTAGATATATGTAGCCATGGTCCCTAGCAAAGGGGACAAGTGAAATGATTGACATGGAGGCAGCCATATCAGAAGAATTAGTGAAATGGTGTCTTTTGGAGGGAGTGCTGTAGAAACATGTGGAGTGTGCAAATCCTTTCCAATTTTGGAAGGTAGGATTGTGTGGCCAAGCACTACAAGTGAGTGTGGGAATGGTCTCAGTATCTGCAGAAACAGTGGAGATATGTCAAAAACCAGAATGCCATACACAGGCACGTGAGAATTTTAACCAGCACTTAACTCACTCCCTTTCTTTTTCTTTGGCACTGATGACTCATTCTTGTGCAAGGGATGACTGCTGACATCTGGCTGTCCTTCTTTGCATGAGGGCTATGGTCTTCATCTCCATTCATCAGCTGTATCCATGTCCACCTCACCAAACACCTTTGGTGTGTGACACTGGTATACCCTGCTGGCAATATCAAGAAATCAAGGTTGAGAACTACCCTACACAGTCACTGATAATGTTGTACTGGCATGATGGACTCAAGGTTGTGGAGCACCTGTTCAGTAACCCTGTATTCACACAGTGTATGGATATCTCTCCATACAAGGAGTTTGAAGTTATGGCTGAAGGCCAAGAACAAGTATATGGGGAATTTATGAGCACTGATGATGCATGGCACATACAGGTTAGTCACCAGTGACCTCTATTGATTAGCAAGAGTGGCTGACTGATGTGTGTGATAGGACCAACTCCCCCACAGTCATTCCTTCCTGGGGGTGATTGGTGCATTGGATAAAACACCTCTGACAATAGGAATGGGGAATAAAGAAATGCACCCTCTATTACTTTTGCTTGTGAACATACATGCTGGAGTACATATGAAAGCTACTTCTCATGCATTCGCACTGGCCACCTATCTGCCCATCCTGAAATTCCACAATGTACCACCAGCTGTTCAGGCCATACTATCTGCACACATCTATCACTTTTCCATATCCCTCAACATGCAGAATCTGATCATTGCCAATCATGATGGCAAAGAAATGTCCAATCTGTTAGGAAATTGTCAAGTCATGCATACCCCTCTCATTGCCTGGATTGCCAACTATCCTGAACAGCTTCTGATCACTTGTGTCTCAGCAAAGAATTCCCCCATTTCACTAGCAATGGCAGAACAGTTCAGAGATGCAACAGCCCGGCCCCCCCATGATTGTGAGTACATGCTTCAGAAGATATGACAGGCTGCTGCCACATGTGATCCATGCAATATTGTTGCATTCCACAAGGCTTGTCTTGCCCTCTGTCTAAATGGTGTCATGGAACTGTTCTGGAAAGATTGGGGGGATACATGTCCCTCCCACTTTCTCACCCCTGATGCCCTGCACCAGTGGCACAGGTTCTATTTTGACCATTGTGTATGCTGGGTAATCAATATCATAGGGGGTGAGGAACTCAATCACTGCTTAGCTGCCCTGCAGCCAAGGATAGGGACTGGGCATTGTGTGAATGGTGTCTCCACCCTCAAACAGTGCACCAGTCGAGAACACTGCGAACTGGAGAAATTGCTTCCCACCATGGCAGCAGGGGCATTGCCCAATGATGTGCTTTGTGCCTTGCACACCATCACCAAGTTCATCTTTCTTGCCAAAGGTATCTCCCATTATGACAAAACCATTCATAGTCTCAGTGAAGCCCTTCATGAATTCCACCATTACAAATCCAGCATTCTCAGGGCACATGGCCATCTCAGGAAGAACAGCCCCCTTGACCACTTTCAGATACCAAAAGTCAAACTAACTCAGCACATTGCATGGAGCATTCATCAGATGGGTGCCCCTTATCAATGGAGCAGCAACATCACTGAACATTGCCACATAACTCATGTCAAGGTGCCCTACCATTTATCAAATCACCAAGGTTACCATGCCCAATGTTGCTGTTTCCTTGATCAACAAGAAAAACAATGCTTTTTCTGCCTCTTTACTGCTCTGAAATCTTCAGTATCACCACTTTTCTTTGCAATGATGGACAAAGCCAGACTTATGGCAATTCACTTCCCAGAGGCTAGTTGGGTTTCTGGTATGTTACCCAGTGAACATTATGTTGGCTCTGTCCACTTGCAGAAGTCCATATTTGATAACCCCTGTTCACATGTATCTGCAACAAATGCCACAGTGCTTCTCCTTACCATTTGTCCTCACTGTCCTAACCTGCTACTTCATGATGCCACAATCTATCTTCAACTTGACAACCTCATTCCTGCTCTTGGAGATTTCATTTCCAGTCAAACTTATATCACTCGCAGTGGTTGTTGCTTCTCTACCTCTGACTGCTCCCTGCCTTTTCAGGCTGTGAACATCTGGGGGAAGTTCTGAATTCAATGCTGGTCCACTCAAGATGTGCAAGCTGTTTCACCCACTCAAACAGTCCAGGCAGTGCCTCTGAGTGAAAGGCTGCCATTTGGACATGCAAATACTGTGTTGATTAGCCATGAAAGTGGTGAACTTATTTCAGCTGATCCACAATCTGAATGTGTGTAATGACAGTGTTGATAATGAGTTCTACTGAGTTTCTTTGCAGGTTACCTTGTGGCTCAGGTGTGAGCAATCTTGCAGCCCATCTGTGACCTCATGTTCCCCCCCCTGATTTATGTCGAGTTCTTCAACTTCTCCAACCTGCACTACCATGTCATCAACAACATCTGCATTGTTGCTCCTGCCCCAAAAATAGAAATGTTCCTTGTTCAGCAATGCTTCTGATCTAATGGCTGGCCACTTGGTGATATCATTCCTCTTGACAGCATATGTCAGGTCATTCAGATCATCCCAAAGTTTGGTGTCAAGGCCCCTAGGGGGATGACATGCAACAACTGTCTGGATGTGGGGCATGAGTTCTACATCAATGGTTTTGTGGACAAAGAGACCTTTCATGCCATCCTGAGCTACCAGTGATAGTAGATCCTCTGTTCTCTTCTTCACAAGTGTTTCCATCCATGATGCTATCCTATGTACAATCAATACCAGATTGTTATTGATAAGATCTGAGGACTTTATCAGACTCATCAACTGCATCATAGTATGATAAGTGTGTGCCATAATAGATAAACCCTTTTCAGAGACATTGGCTAACACAAGATTATGCTGAGGCCAATATCTCCCTAATGGAGCTATACATGGTTTTTGGCCAGTAGAATCCAGTCAAAGCTGGTTGCTTGGCAACAAAATGGTGTTTTCTGGTTTCATTGGCTACTGGTTCACTGATGTATGACAGGGAGCTTCATAGTTACATGATGCAGATCTTCCAGGATGATCTCACTGAATGTCCCAGGATGTGTAGAGGATCTAAGATCATCAGTGTCGTAAATCCTGAATGGCAGACGAGGATTCAGCAGGGGCTGATGTGGTAGATCCAGCTATTAAATTACATTCATTATCTACACCATTGTTGCCATGAAATGCATTTATTTCAATTACTACTGTGGGACTACTGGCAATAGGATGTATACCCAGCAAGTGTGTAGCATATAGATTACTGGTTCATGCACAGGGGCCATGGACCAGCCACGATCGTCATGCGATGGGTGGGTATGGGTGGTATACATGGCATGCACAGGATGGCTGCCTGAATCCGGTATTGACACTGGACAAGCCTATGGATATGCAGATCGTACCTGAATTCGACCCTGAGATGCTTGCCGTCTCTCTATCTGCAATACGGATCCAACTCAAGGTATGTATTTGATACTGCTAAGACACTGAACCGGTACCAAACCCATGGCAACTTGCTATCGGCTTAATGTGTCTATTGCGTAATATTTTAAATTTCAGATCCCACCAGCCCTGGAAAAGACTGGCAGAGCAGGGATGAGGTACGGGCCACATGACCCTGGAAAAAAACATGAGCTCCGTACTCTCGGCAACTGGACGTGTACAGGGTGGCCATGTAAACCCTCCCACAGTAGCCAATCTTGGCAACCCGTGCTCACATGACTGACCGGACATTGCTTGGCTCGCTCCACAACTAAACAAAAGCACTTACGTGAATTTTACTCGGATCTGGTCTATCGTTCAGTAGTTAGCTGTAGGGTCTGTGTAGTGCGGGGGAACGAGGTTGTTGACTGGACCCTCGGGCAAGGTGAAGAAGGCGCCTGATATCGACGGTAATGATAAGAGTTGGGCGTGCGGAACTATTTTTACCTATTACAGTAACTAAACTAACTCGATGACAAGGTATGTGGAGCGCGTGGTCGCCAGTCCTTCCCATAAAGAAGCACGCATGCTAGTTTAACCAGAGGCGCATCATTTTCCATTTCCCTCCCTCCGTGCTGGATGCCATGTCCAACGAATACTACCAGGACAAGGAGAAGGCTGTCGGGATCGAGCCCCCGGAAGTGGAGGTCGCCCCCGACCAAGCCATCGCAAAGCGTTTCGGCGCGTTTGGCCCCTTTCTTGAGAAGCTCTTCGCGAGTGGTGTAGAAGCCAGAGGGGTGGAGCGCGTACCGGAGGATCAGAGGGAAACAAGGAATGTGTGGAACAAGTGAGTCGTACGAGTCGAGTCTACTTCTCGCCACGTGTTTCACCTTCCCCAACCTATACAGTTTGCTGATGTGGTGGTGAGCACTGATGTCCCTCTATAACTACCTTGCGTTCTTGCTCACGGCGACTCGGTACAGGTCCGTCAACACAGTGTTGACTACCATCCCAATTGGGGTGCTGGGAAAGTACGTATTTACACTCACGTTCCAGTAAGCCATCCATCCCTCGCTTTGGGCTCTTTCGTCACGTCAATTTTCAGACACGCTGTGGCCACCATCCTGTGCTTCGGTTTTCTGGGTGCCAATGCCACTGCCTTTGTCGCCACTCTAGGGCCTCAAACGGGCTTGCGGACCATGATCATTACGCGTTATAGCTCCGGCTATATCGGCTGCACCCTCTACTCTATTCTCAACATCCTCACGCAGTAAGCATGTCTGCACGCCATCCCTTCATGTAACTTTAGTGTCCGTTTCATCCAGGCTCGGGTTCGCAACTACGGCAGTGATCCTAGGCGGACAAACGCTCGCATCCATCAATAGTTCGCATGGTATTCCACTTGTAGCCGGCATTATTATCATCGGCGTGTGTTCCCTGATACCATGCTTCGTCGGCTACAATATGGTGCACGTCTACGAGAAATATGCCTGGATAGTTACGTTTTTTATCATGTGCTGTCTTTATGGCCTCGGCGCAAAAGCGGGATTTGACATAAGTGCTCAAAAATCAGCAGAGGACACCGGCAGAGCACTCAGCGCAGATATTATTAGTTTTGGAGGTATCGTGTTTGGCTCTTTTGCTGGGGTAAGCGCGTCGTTTTCTGCCCTGCATATTTCCTTGTTGACTAGTGGCTCCTGCTTCTAAACCTAGTGGGCGCCCGTCGCAGCAGACTATAATGTGCGGCTCCCCGCTGACACTCCAGCGCTCCGTGTATTCACCCTCACTATGTTTGGGCTTTATATTCCTGTCTGCTTTACCTCTATCCTTGGCGCTGCTTTGATCACTATCACGGACCCAGAATATGTCGCTGCCTTTGGCGCGGATGGATCAACTGGTCGTTTAATCGCGCAGGTGTTGTCTCCTTGGGGAGGAGGAGGGAAATTCTTACTGGTTTTGTTGGCCTTTAGCTGCATGTAGGTCATTCCAGACCGTCGTTAACCCTGCTGATTATCCTGTAACACGCAGTGCGAACAACATCCCTAATACCTATTCTACAGCGCTGTCGATTCAGGCTCTGGGGCGTCCGCTGGCCGTTGTGCCGCGCTTCATTTGGGTCATCTTTGCCTTCCTTGTCTACACCATCGCGGGAGTTGCTGGCCGCGAGCACTTCTCAGAGATCCTTAGTAACTTCTTGAGTATCTTAAGTTACTGGACGGCATTCTTCATCGTTATTATGGCTGAAGAACACTTCATCTTCCGAAGACCTGGCGGAAAGCTCAGAGGCTATAACTTGGCAAATTGGGACCAGCCATCCAAGTAAGCTGCTTTCTGGATGCTGGGCAGGGTATGTTACTCATGGTATCTACACAGACTTCCGCCAGGCTTTGCAGGCATCCTGGCAGGATGCTTTGGAGTTGTTGGTGCTATCGTCGGTATGGCGCAGGTCTGGTACACGGGACCGATTGGTCAGAAGGCCGGTGCTACGTATGGAGCTGACCTTGGCTTCGAAGTGAGTGCCTTTGTATATCGGCTGCTATCATGTGCTGATAGGCTCAGCTTGCGGCGGCCTTCGCTGCGGTGACTTACCCTCCTTTGAGATGGATAGAGATTAAGCTTACTGGAAGATGACGAGACATTACATGTACTATGTATGCTACAGAATAAGTCTTGATATTGTACTGGCCCGAACGTAGTTGATGGCCATACCGGCGAGAAATAAAGCCATCCAGCTTCGTCATATTGTAACACTAGCGACGTGCTAGGTGAAAAGATCGCACAACCGTGTTCACCAGGCCTCGCCATCGACGACCACGCGGCAGTACAAACCAACCAACCGAAGGGTTATGCTATACCGTTGAACGACAAAATACGGCTCGTGTTGTGTGCTCGTGTAGGTCACGATAGTTAAGCAAGAAAGATAACATGTCCACGCGGGCTAGGATTACCGTACGTATCAAGGCCTATTGAAAGCCTCAGCATTAGCTTAAATTCAGTTCACGGGCTTCAATGCCCACCAAGCGATGGATTTCGCTCTGGAGACTGATGGTAGCAGCCAAGTGAGTAGCTCAAGGTGTGGGGACCTGGGGAAGTTGATCTTCGCTGCCACCTCCTGCAAGAATGCATCAGGGCTGACGCAGAGGTAGAAACTAATTGAGGGAGGGCATTCATGTGCTGGTAGTCGATCATGCAGATACGACCTGTCTTCGAACCATAGAGGAAATTGTCGAGGGAGATGTCCAAGAACAGAAAACATGTTTCTCGTGATTGAAGCTAACTAGGCGAGTGGTTCCCTGCCAGGAGACGACTCTAATGTCTATGATGGCAAGCCAGCGTAAGAAAGTGTATTGGCTGTACACAATGGAAACGCGCCCTGTTGATAAGCTTCTCTAGAATCGTGGCATTGACGAACGCGACGGGAGCCTCCTGCATGGCGAAGAAACTATGCTGGATGCATCCTCCGCCAATGGAGCCACCCCCGTCACCGCCCGGGAGGGGGGCAATTCAGCAGCAAGTACACTGTGCTTGCTATCTTCTCGATGGCGATGGTATGTCGAATACTATGCTCCTTCTCGGAGAGGTCCTTTTAGCAATCCAGGCGCGCAAAGACAGGAAGGGCATGTCCTCCATAACGAGATACGTGCTGCCAGCCCCATCTCCGAAATCGCCGCACACCGCAGGCACCTGGGAGCGCGAGCTTCGGATTCAGATTACTGGAAGATATACCTCTGGATATGAGCCTCATGAGTGAGGCTCTTGTTGCCCCAGCCGTGAACGAACGAGCGACAGTTTGGGATACGGTAATTGCCGGGGCCCCTGGCGCAGTGGTCGATGTGGGCTGCGCGACGTCTAATATGCGAGGTGCTGCTGGGAACATAATAACTCACGCCAATGTTGTTGAGGTCGGCCGATGTGGGGCAGGATACACGAAGCGGGGATAGGGCGGTGCAGGCAAAAAGGGGCTGTCTGGGCTGGGTTACCACCATGCCATGAGCACCATGACTCCGGCTTGCAGTCGACCATCACCTCTTCCAGCGTCGTTACAACGTCCTGTGTTCGGTTGCACAGCGACCAGAAGCAATCTTGTAGTCAGATAGGCAGGGCTGATAGTGCTACGATGACATTGACAGCGGCCGGATCGGGTTGGTGCGTACTTGGCTATAGCTGATATGACTGCAAGTTCTTCCCAAGATTGATGTTGCCGCTCGAGCCTTTAGTCTGCCTGTCTATCGAGTTGATGATTACTTGTCTGTCTTCTCGTCCCAGGCCAGATTGCTAACCTGAGCAGCGGGCGAGCGTGGTTGAGGTGGATTCCCTCAGCGTCTCTAAAACGGCCATACTTGTACGAATACGTATGAAAGTCCACGCAGAAGGTAAGCCGTGAATTCCTCAAGTTGTGGGTTGTTTTTATGCCTCTTTCCTCGTTCGTTTCTGGTGCTCTTCGCTTGCATACCGTCTATTCGACTGCCTGTCCTAGAGCATCCCTTATCCGTTCTTCTCTCCTTGTTACGATTCGTTCTGTTTGCGTACTTATGACGCTGGGTCGAAGATTAATTCAGGATCTTTTTGAACGACCTCGCCGAGAAGGCTCTGGGCAGAGTACCGCGACTGTTAACGAAGAAGTACAGAAAGCACATCAACCTGCAACAGAGAGTAACTATCGGTTGGCCCCGGCACTCTGGGAACAGCAAGCTCACTCTTCGACTCAAAAGTATATGGTTGCTGGCGAGGTCTAAATATGGAGCATAGTTCTCGAGAGTGCAATCCAGCGCTACTCCGAACGGCATAAAGGCGTCCAAAGACTTGGTCAATACGATTGCCTATGGAGTCGAGGGCAAGTACGACGATTCTCCAGCATGTTTAAGTACAGTCATTTAAACCTACAGGAACTTCACTGTCGACTGGCATGAGAACATACAGGAGAGTATGACTCTTCCGATCTTGAACGTGAGTGACAGCAGATATACATCCTTTCAATATTTGAGGGACTTGTAATGATACTTTAGTCCGTCCATGTCCTTTTACAAGAAGAATTAGGATTCAGCTCAACGCATTCACCTCAGCTAGATGGGTGAATATATTGAGTCGACGACTCGTGCAGACCCTGGTCGAGGCTTACACTACCACATAAGAGAAACCTGAGGAGGTGATCACATCGAAGTGGACAGCGACAGCTAACTTAGGTCGAATAGGATGTCGCCTTCGCGCTTTGCCATGCAGGTCGTCAAGGACGCGAAAGACATGACTTTGACTCCTAGCGAGAGATAAAACTTCTCTCTCCACCCAATCCGTACTCACCTCGACGGTATTAATGCCGTGACGGGCCGAAACACCTGTTCCATGAAGGCCGGGAGGCATGCCTCTTTTTCAGCAGCCTTATACTAATACATCTCGCCTTTGCCAGGAGTGCACTCAGAGACCACAAGATGACCGGCCAACTTCTTGACATCGAGCCACCCGAAGACGAGATGTTCAGCTCCACTGGGACGGGCGCATGCTTGATATGCCCCTCTACCAGAAAAATAACGAACAAAATCGACTCATCTCGAACTTCCTGTTCGTGTCTTCGTAATTTGGGCATCCGTCCCTCCGAATCATGACTTCAGAGCGGAGGGCTTGCACTTAGTCGGTGCGCGACTCTTTGCTCATTCTCGTAGTTTCTCATTCTTGCATGCAGATAAGTTTTCCTCAGCTCAGCGCACGAGGCATGGAGGGCGGCGGTACGTATGGAGCTGACCTTGGCCTCGAAGCAAATGTGTTTGCATATCGGCTGCTATCATGTGCTGATACGCTTGGCTTGTGGCTGCGTTCGTTGGAGCGACTTACCCCCCTTTGAGATGGATAGAGATTAAGGTTGCTGGGGAACGGCCAGGTGCAGCGTATACTATACCACACTATAAGTCCTGATATTGTACTTACTGGAGTTGGTACTCGTATCGGCAAGAATCAAAGTTGCTATTAGCAAGGACGTGGGTAACAAATTCCCACGAGCGTGTTCACCCCACCTTGACATTGACGACGACGACGAGCGGGCAGCACAAACATGCCAACCGAAGGGCCATGCTACACTGTTGTCTTTGAGGACAACACAGAGACACCATCCACACAGGAACTCAGATCTGCATTGGAGAAGGGCAGCGATGACGACAAACTCGAAAGCCTTCGTAAAATCGTCGTCTCCACTGTCAACGGGAATCCTCAGGCAAGTCTTCCCGTGTTTCAACGTTGGGGACGTGTAGTTTAATGTGTGCTTGGTCTCCGATGCAGCCTACGCTGTTGATGCCAATCATACAGTATATCATGCCTTCCAAGAACAAGCAACTGAAGAAACTATTGCATTTCTATTGGGAGGTATGCCCAAAGTACGACGAAAATGGCAAGCTCAAGCAGGAGATGATACTGGTCGTGTGCGTGCCCCCCTCCGATCTTCCCCATTCTGTACATCTGCCGGAGGACTGACTCTCCCAATCCTTCAGCAACGCCATCCGCAATGATCTCGTAAGTTCTTTTCAACCTGTACCACCATCCTCCTGACGCATATATGCAATTGTTCCCTGATCGTGCTTTTGGTTCTAGCAACATCCTAATGAGTATATCCGTGGTGCGACGCTCCGCTTCCTCCAAAAAATATCCAGAGACGCCGAACTTCTCGAACCACTCATCCCCACCCTCCGTGCTAATCTCGAGCATCGACATTCCTACGTCCGTCGTGCAGCCGTATTCGCCCTTCATACCGTTCACCGCGAACATCCGTCTCTCGTCCCCGATGCAGCAGAACTCATGCAGACGTTCCTTGCTGCAGAGTCGGATGCCTCTTGCAAACGTAATGCTCTTGTCTTCCTGGCTAACGTCGCGCTACCCCGCGCGGTCGAATGGTTGCGAGGCGTGTGGGATGGAATCGTCAGTATGGATGAGGGGTTGCAGATGACAGTGGTGGAGGTGGCCCGAATGGATTGTGCACATGATACGACGCATCGGGTGAGTCACTATATTTTACTATTAGGTGCATGCTGACCCCTGGTTTTACACAGCCCAAATATATTCGGGTCATGTTTGAGCTACTTGGTGCGACCTCGCACGCGGTAAAATACGAAGCAGCAACAACTCTCACCACTCTCACCCAGAATGCAGCTGCCGTCAAAGGTAATATACTCCTTGTTCTACACTCTACAGGGTCGTGTTCTCAACTCTGTACGCATTGACAGCTGCTGCGTCGTGTCTTGTTACCCTTGCCATAAAGGAGTCGGATAACAATGTGAAGCTGATCGTGCTCGATCGGTTAGATACGTTAAGAGAACGTCACCGACGCATCCTGGACGGTTTGATCATGGACGTCTTGCAAGTACTCTCCAGGTAAGAGACTCCTTGTTCATTCGACACTTATCGTACCGATTCGGTAAATCCATTCGTAGTGCTGATATGGAGGTACGCCGTAAGGCGATGAGCATCGTGCTCAGCATGACTTCGGGGAGGAATGCCGAAGATGTTGTACTTTCCCTCAAGAAGCAGTTACTGCGCACACAGGAACAAGATTTTGATAAGGTCAGTTTACGTGCACAATGCACATTTATCTAGGACTGACGGAGCACAGGCGTCAGAGTACAGGCAGCTCCTGATCCAGAGCATACATGTTCTCGCGATTCGGTTCTCAGAGGTTGCCGCAAGTGTCGTCCACGCTTTGATGGACTTCCTTGGTGATTCCAACAACCCTTCCGCTTTAGATGTGGTTGCTTTTGTACGGTTCGTATCCTTTTTTTTTTTTTTTTTTTTGAATTGGGTACGTTTTGCTGACTATATTCCTCGGATTTTTCGTACACGCAGTGAAGTGGTGGAGAAATTCCCAGCTCTCCGTCTTGCCATCACGGGGAAGTTAACGAATACATTAATGAACATGCGGTCCGGGAAGGTTTTCCGTGGCGTGCTATGGATTCTGGGCGAATATGTGGAAGAGTTAGATGCCATAGAAATGGTATTGGGAGAGATCCGAAAAATCATCGGCGAAATTCCAATCTTGGCAGCGGAGTTGCGGGAGGAAGAAGGTAGTTCACTGGGCGATGAACAACACGACGAAGGAAATGTCAGCGGTACTGGGACTGGGAGACCAAGAGTCCTTGCAGACGGTACTTATGCCACTGAAACTGCCTATTCCGTGTCATCGACACGTAATACCGAGTCTTCGAAGACCACTAAACCTCCCCTCCGAGGCAAGTGATTATTGACTAAAAATTCAAAATACAAACTTACCCAATTGTTCGTAGCGCTGATATTGGGCGGTGACTTCTTTACTGGCGCAGTCCTTGCAGTTGCTTTAACCAAGCTTGTCTTGCGACATGACAAGCTGACGAGCGATAGGACGAAGGCTAATTCTGTACGGGCTGAGGTGCGTATTTGCGGGCCTGTTCCAGTCCGTGGCGATTCACTACTTGCATCGTTCTGCAGGCAATGCTGACTATGACCTCCATCATTCGGGTCGGCCAGTCCAAATTTGTCACGGCGCCAATCGACGAAGACTCAAATGAACGTATATTGGGCTGCATTCAGAGCCTCAGTGAATTGAGCGATCGTCAGGAGGTGAATGAAATCTTCCTCAAAGATAGTAGAGCAGCGTACGCACAGATGCTAGGGGCTCAGGAGGTATGCAAGGCTCGTTGCTATGATTCTGTAAGAAACCGACCCTGCTCCAGAAACGCGCAGCGGAAAAGAAAGCTGCCGAAACCGTAAAAGAGAACGTCATTCAGGTGGATGACCTTTTGACGTTCCGCCAGTTCTCGAAGAAATCGGTGGACGACGCTGTCGATGTATGTCACCCACCTCTACCTTCATCTGTGTGCTGTGACCCTATCCTCGTTTTTTTAGTATGTGGAAGACCTTGGCAAAGCTACTGGCGCTGGCGAAGTTCGTGAGGACTTCATTTCGAATCTCAGTAGAATATCTCAACTTACTGGTAAGTCCATTCCCTTGAATCAAATATACCCTTACTGATATATTGCGCTCGTAAGGATTCTCGGATCCTGTATATGCTGAGGCATATGTCAAGATGCATGGGTTTGATATCTTACTGGGTACGAGGTTCCCTGTGCCTTCCCAGGTCCCTACCCTTATAATTTATTTCGGTACCCCACAGATGTCCTGCTAGTGAACCAGACCTCGAATACGCTTCAAAATCTTTGTTTGGACTTTGCAACATTGGGGGATCTCAAGCTTGTGGAACGCCCTACTGTATACACCATTGCCCCCCATGGCTTCCAGAGTATTAAAGCTACGATCAAGGTATGCCCGTTCCCCGCAATATCTTGATTATGACTTGAGTATTCGTTAGGTGTCGTCTACTGAAACCGGTGTCATATTCGGAAGCATATTGTGGGACGGGCCTAATCTCACCGAGTGTTGTGTGATATTGAACGACATACACATTGATATAATGGACTACATCAAGCCTGCGTATTGCAGCGAGACTCAAGTACGTGCCTACCTTTATGCTTCCGTAATATGTCTGGTAAACAGCAGATTGCAATAGTTCCGCAGTATGTGGACGGAATTCGAGTGGGAGAATAGAGTCAACGTGTCCACGAAAATGACGTAAAGTCCTATCTTCTTTTTTGTTCGCATCGCACTTTAACGTGAAGTCTACTTGTCAGTGACACGCGGGAGTATCTGAAGCATGTGATGAAATCGACCAACATGTCTTGTTTGACGCCAGAAGGTGCTATGTCTGGTGACTGCGACTTCCTTTCTGCCAACATGTACGCGCGGAGTCTTTTCGGTAAGTATGCCCGCCTTAATTCTTTGTTTCATATTCTGATATATGGTTGTCTCTGCACACACGCACAGGCGAAGATGCGCTAGCGAACCTGAGCATCGAGAAGACAGAAACAGACGCGATTGTCGGACATGTTCGCATTCGCAGCAAAACACAAGGCATTGCACTATCGCTCGGCGACCGTATCACGATGTGTACGTACTAGAACCTTCCCAGGTGGTGTTTGGGCTCATGATTCCACCCATTGGCAGCACAAAGGGATACCAAACCTCCGCTATAGGGAACAACAGGTATTGCAAGCGTCGTACTTCCACG